ACACACACACACACACACACACACACACACACACACACACACACACACACACACACACACACACACACACACGCACCATGTAGTTTATATGTGATGGCACACGTTATGATGGGGGGGGGGGCTGTAAATCTGTGAACTGCTCATGTTAACAGTGAATGTCTCTGAGCCGCTGTTTGAAGAGACGTCTGTTCTTCTTCTGTCTCAGGTTTAACTTTGGGACTCTGGGCTTCTGGTTCCCCTGGTCTCTGGTGCTGCTGGTCTTCGCTGCTGCTCTCTTCACATACACCGCTCTACTGCTGGTGAGCAACAGACAGCATGTCACTAGAATGATCTGATTATAGAAGCTGCAGGTCGTGTCGTTATTATATGAAGGGTTGGTGATTAAACAGTGTTTCAATATGTGAAGGTGCATTTAATGTCTCTCAGCACTTTGCTTGTTATGCAGCAACATGTTTTATTATTAAAGGTGATGAGGAAAGATGAAGTGGAGGAAGAATCAGTGAGAGGAAGTAGAAATCTTAAGTAATAATAATAATAAACCGTATTTATTTCACAGGGTTACAAAAAGCTAAATCACATGTGGTGTATACACAAGTTTAATCAAGTTCATTCAGGAGACAAGGGACAAAACATCTGAAGCCAAGTAATCTTCTGAGGCATTTGAATAAACAATGAAACTGATTTAATGATGTTGAGTTAAATTCTGGATGATCGTGTGTTTTATTGGTGAATTCATTAAGTTTTTATTAAGTTTATTAAGTTTTGAATGACTTTGTTCAGGTGTTGGCCGTGTGTCTGCTCACTGAGGGTCAGAGACTTTACCTCCACTGGTGCCACAAGGTAAACACACACACACACACTGAATACATCTACACACTCAGTTGTGTGTTTGTGTGTGTGTGTGTTCCACCTTCTTCTTCTTCCTCCTCAGACGGGCATTGTGGTGACGTTGGCGTTCTCTGTCACAGTCATCGCCGTCCTGTCTGACCTCTGGAGCAAAGAATGGAAGACTCTTCTCCTCTCCCTGCAGGTGAGCGGATCCCTTCCTACCAGCCGATCACAGGAGAGAGTTACACGACGTTGTATTTCTTTTGAACCACCTCATTCTCTCGCTCTCTCTTTTCAATCGCTCAGGTGACGGCACCGTACCTCCATGTGGCTGCGGTCTCACTGATGGCGATTCTCTCCTGGCCGATTGCGTTACACTTCTTCCGCATGAACAAGAAAGGTGAGCGGAACAAATGTACTCAGGGTTTTTAAACGTGGGTAAATTCAAGATGAACTCATGAGTCTCACTTTCTCTCACTGACGTCACAAACACATCAGAAACACGAATGAGACTCAGGAAAAGTTGAGGTCGCAAGTACACAAAGGTTTATGGGTATTTACGTGCAAACACCTGGAGGTTTGATTTGTGGCAGCGTGAAAAAAGTACCTCAGTTCCTATGTTTGAAATAATTATGTTAACAGAGCGTTCACCCTCTATGAGTCATATTTACTCGTAGATTTATCTTTCCCCTCTAACTGTCCGTCACACTCAGTGGAATGTTCTGGAGAACTATGGGGAGCTCCCTTGTTGACGTGCCGCAGTAAGTGGAGGAAAGAAAAAGGACCTCGATGAATTGACATGTTGTCTTGTTTCTTGGAGACAGTGAAGCTCGTCCGCTCTCAAAGCTTCAGCTGTGATAACACTGAGCTGCTCCGCCCACCGGGGATACAGCTATTCAGAAATCAAACGTCCCCCTCAGCAGCGTGACACAATGTCTTGGAGGCTCCTGTCTTCCTCTCTCCCTCCGCACTTCTTCTTAACAGAAAATCAATGTTTCTCACCCGTGTCTTCATCTCTCTAGTTCTTCCTTTCTCCTCTTCCTCTCTCTAGTGCTTCCTTTCTCCTCTTCATCTCTTCCTCTCTCTGGTGCTTCCTTTCTCCTCTTCCTCTCTTCGTCTCTCTGGTGCTTCCTGTCTCCTCTTCCTCTCTTCATCTCTCCAGTGCTTCCTGTCTCCTCTTCCTCTCTTCGTC